TTAATCATAAATGGGCCGTTAATGGGCCCAAGAGAATCCCTAGATGCGTGGGGCCCACCTCTCGTCATCCTTTCTCTTTCTCTTAAAACGATTCAATAACCGCCACTTTTCTTGTACTTCTCTCCATTTATTATGGGCCTGGCCCAACTTAAATTCATAATTCATAATTGGGCTTAAAAGCCCATTTTTTATTCATCAATGGGCCGATGAAGGGCCCAAGCGAATCCCTCGATGCGTGGGGGCCACGTCTCTTCTTCCTTGATTCCAAAACCGCCACTCTGTAACTTCACTGTTCCACTTTTCACTCTCCCATGGCTTCCTCTCCATTTTTCCCTCTCCTCCTCAGCCTCTTCTCTCTCTTCGTCCGACTTACCTCCGCCGCCTACTCCATCGGCGTCAACTATGGCACGGTTGCCGACAACCTCCCTCCGCCGTCCCAGGTCGCTGCCTTCCTCAAATCCCAAACCTCCATCAATCGCGTCAAGATCTTTGACGCCAACCAAGATATCCTTCGTGCCTTCGCCGGTACCGGCATCGCCCTCACTATTTCCGTCGCAAACGGTGACATTCCGACCCTCTCCAAGCTCCCCGCCGCTCAGTCTTGGGTCGCAATTAACATTCTTCCGTTTTACCCCAACACTCTGATCAACTACATCGCCGTCGGGAATGAGATTCTCGCCACCTCCGACAAGATTCTCATAGCGCATATGCTCCCGGCGATGAAGGCTTTACATTCCGCTCTTAGGCTAGCGAATATCTCTGATATCAAGGTTTCAACCCCACATTCGTTGGGCATTTTGTCGGCGTCGGAGCCGCCGAGTAACGGGCGGTTCCGGCGGGGGTACGACCGTGTCATATTTGCTCCGATCCTCGAGTTTCACCGTCGGACCAAGACGCCGTTCATGGTGAATCCGTACCCCTTTTTTGGTTTCAGACCGGCGACGCTGGACTTCGCGCTGTTCAAGCCCAACGCCGGCGTTTTTGACAACGTCACTGGAATGCACTACACGAACATGTTCGACGCGCAGCTGGATGCGGTTTACTCGGCGATGAAGAAGCTCGGTTACGAGGACGTGGACATCGTGGTGGCGGAGACTGGTTGGCCCTCTGCCGGCGACCCAAATCAACCCGGCGTGAGCTTGGAGAACGCCATTTCGTACAACCGGAATCTCGTTAAGCTTGTCAACTCCGGTATTGGAACGCCATTGATGCCGAACAGAACATTCGAAACTTACGTTTTCGCTCTTTTCAACGAGAATCTCAAACCGTCGGCTTCTGAGAGGAACTACGGCCTTTTCAAACCCGATCTAACTCCGGTCTACGACGTCGGTATCCTCCTGAACCAACCGGTAAACCGCTTCTCCTTGTAGAAAAAACCCATACCGCCTTTGCTGGACTGAGGTCCGAATACGGCGGGGGTATTCTAGTAAATGTACATCAAGCACACGCGTAGTAAACAGAACGTCATTGGTCACGTACACGTGTTGATTCCTAATTGGTTTATGGCTCTACCTGTAAGCTTGTTGTTTTGCTAACCAATAAAAAATCGACGCGTAGGAGTCGTAGCAAACCAGCTGTCCAAGAACGCAAAAGCCACGTTTTCTTTTTCTGTTTGGACGGAATTACGCTCCATTTTATTCTTTTTATCAGGGCAATATAGTCAATTTGCTTTTCTTTTCTTTCTTTCCTATTTTTTTATTTTTTAATGAATTCCAGATGATCTTAACCGTTGATTTTAATGTAACAGTCAATGGGGCCCACGTCTCCGAACGCACAGGCATCAGAACCGTCGGATGTGGGGAGAAAGTGGTGCGTGCCGAAAACGGACGTGTCAGATGAAGCGTTGCAGAAGAATATTGACTACGTGTGTAGCAGCGGAGTGGAGTGTGGGCCCATAGAATCCGGCGGGGCCTGCTACAATCCCAATACAGTCCGGTCACATGCTTCGTACGCCATGAACGCTTACTTTCAGTCCGCCGGCCGCCATGATTTCAACTGCGACTTTAACAACACCGCCCTCCTCACCGCCACCGACCCCAGTAAGATTTTCTTCTTCTTCCTCTTCTTACCTTTAAATTCCGGTTAAAATTTCAATGGAATTTACAGGTTATGAGACCTGCAGCTACCCGTTCGATGAAGAAAAGTTAACGGAAAAATCGGCGGCGATGACTTGTAGGATGATCGGGGCGGTGGCGCTCACATGTTTTGCGGTGGTTGGTGTGGCGGTGTTTTATTAATTTGAACCAAAAGTGAGATTTGGTCTGTGTTTTTTTTCATTTATAATTTACATTCAAAACTCAATTAATGTAAAGCTTGAAGGAGTTGAATAACAATGAAAAATATTCCCTCTACGCTTAATTTTCACGGCGGCGGCACAGTCGGAAAAATGGCCGGAATTCTCAATCACTCCATGCATATCGCGCAGCTCCGATCGTCACTGCAACGGCCGGGGATTCTTCTTCTGTCTGCCGCCGTGCTCCTCGCGAGTTATAGTTTGATTCTGAGTCGTGGACTCTGATTTGGATCTGTCGGCGGGGTTGAAGGTAAAAATAATGAAAAATGAACATAAACGCAATCATTAGAGCACAAACCACCGCCACCAACATGAAGCCGCTTGCGATTGTTATCCTCATCGTTAGTTGAAACATTCTGGTTTGGCCGTGTTGCAGGTTCCGGCAGCGGCGGAGGAGATGGGGAGGACGGGGAAGATGAAGATTTGATTGATTTTCAATGTTTTTATGCAAAAAAAAAAGGGAATTCGGAAAGTTTCATTTGGAATAAATGTGTTTATACACTAAAAAAATTGAGGCATAATAGAATTGGAATATGATTCCCATCGGCGTTGAAAGTCGTACGGCGGTCTGAGAACCTTCCAAAATCTGGAATTTTCAAAAGTTTTTTCCTTTCTATTCTATTATTATTAGTGAGTCATCTCGGCTCGGTGAGTCCTTTCTTCTACGATGGACTGACCTCCATTTTGTCTTTGTGGATTCAACCTCTTAAAAAAATACTGCAACATGGATTCGAACAATGCAATGTAGTTGGACTCTCATGTGGATCGGAATGAATCATCCTTTCCACGGAGGTAAATATTTACCTGCTAGGCAAGAGGATAGCAAGTTACAAATTCTATGGCAGTAGGACATGTATTTCGATTACTTGCATAAGGGAGTTGTACTTAGTGTTAAAAATGTATCTTGTATGATTTCCTGATTTTCGTCGAGATGGGGTGTGAAGCGTCAGTACCTTTTTGAGAGTAGCCAAAGGGAATAGCCGGCCGGTGGGAGCGAGAAGTTTTGGATTCGTGACTGGAATCCCCAATAGGGCAGGGAAAGTCCCGCCAAAATGTCCAAGTCTGAGGGGCGAAACGCTTTCCGAAACAAATCTGTTTTTTTAATCAACTTGAGCTGGTGAGGGAAGGGCGAAGAAGAAAAAAATACCAAGTAATTTACAGAAAGGGAAAGAGAGGGTTTGTGATCGAGTGTCATTGCTCCCACATCTTTTTCTGGTCCGGCCACGAGCATAAATGTTTTATTGGGCTTCGGACCTTATTCACTCGCCTTATCTTCTTTAACTTGGCATCCTGTAAGAAAAATGGTGCAGCAGTTGACTGACAATGCGGATTTGGAACTGGCAAATGAAAGAGAAACCCGAGAGGGTCTTTTCAATCTTTTTTCTTAATTGGAGAATCACCAATTTCTTATTTGTTCGGATTTGATTGTGTTCACAAGGGGAGAGGAGAAAAAACCCAAAAACAGAAGCAGAAGAGGAAATACTGGTAAATGGTTAGCAGATTCGCAGCAAAGTCCGCTTATAGTTCCTTTTGGCACAACAGGGTAAGTAGTCAACTCTAACAAATCAACAAAAAGACTCAAGCATTCAGATAACAACAAAGACACTGACCGTCCAAGCATCAAAGGAGGGGACTGGGGATTGGTCCCTGGTGATACAGTGAATATCGAACCATCAACAACTCGGAAAGCATTAATCCCAATAACCCTGAAATTGCGATCAACTACCTTGCCCACAAGGCATCCACCATGGTAGTGCCATATAGTACTCACTGCGGGCAAAACTCTCCCATCAGCCGATCATTTGATTGATCAACGGGTAATGCAGGCCCCACCTATCTTCAATCTCGGCCCCCAAACAAACCATTCCCTGAATTGGAAATCCTCCATGGAACGGCTTCTCAGTACATCACCGATCTTGCAGGTGCCATTCACACACCGCTCCACATACATCACCCGGATTACTAAAGTAGTTGAACCGTACAATTGGATTAACCCTGACATCTGTAGATGGCAACCAGAGTGAACAGGGAGTGGCCCAGTAATCTTCTCCATTAGGGTAGCCACAGTGAGATAGAGTGGTGAAACTGGGTTCCGAATGAAAAGAGAGCGAGCCGGGGAGACAAAAGGTATGACATTAGATACTTGTCATTGTTAGACAAAACACGACTCTCTGTGATGGTATGAAATTGTCCACTTTGAACCAATAGAGAGAATATTCTTTGATTATAAACCCATAATCATTTCCTAAATTAATTTTAATGCTTATTTGTTTCATTTAATATTTTGTTATGTCGTTTTAAAGATGTTTTGGAACACGTAAGTTTATGACAATGTTTTAAGATGAAGTTTATATAAACGGCTAGGTAGAAATTTATGGTCCTAACAAATTTATTTGTAGTTAGTTTTAAAAATATATTATATTTTAAATTTTAATTATTTATTTTCAAAATATTATTATTTTTTTTTAAATGAGATATTATTTTTTTCCTAAAGATTTTTCATAAATGGTATAATAAATAATGATATAAATACCCTTAAATACGAATTTATACGTATATATATGTTTTAAATTATATAATTATATAATTACATAAATACCCTTACAGATACTGGGCTTGGAGTGGGCCCAAAAGATGGGCTCTGGTTATGAATGAAGCCCAATAGAAGACCTTTGATGAATGCTGAGAATCTCATTCGTATCACTAAAAACAAATGAAAAAGATCAGAAACTTTTCTCAGAATCTTTCCGGCGGCAGTAAAAACCAGAGGCGGCAATCTCCTCGATAGGCTATAACAACCATGTCTCCGCCACCTCCACCGGAGTTATCCGTCGACGTTCTATCAACCGTGGATCTCGACTTCCTAAATTTCGCCGGACTGTTCATTCTAGCGGTGACGATCATGTACTTCATTTACACCTATTACGAACATAAATACTGGAATCGAAGCCGAGATATCGAAGGGGGAAGGTCGGCGGCTACGGCGTCGGTAGGATCTTCTGGAGAGGATCGACGATGGGCGACGGCGGTGATTTCGACCAGGCTGTTTCAGTACGGAGAGCGAGGAATGGAAGGGAAAAATGCGGATTGTTCGATTTGCTTAGATGAATTCGTAGAAGGTGAGATTTGTCGAATGCTTCCAAAATGCAAACACGTTTTTCATCGATTTTGCATCGATCAATGGCTTCCTAATGAACGCCATTGTCCTCTCTGTCGTTCCCCTGTTCATGTTCGTTTCATTTTTGCTCATCGGTCTTGAAACATTCTTTTATTTATTTGCGATTTAGATTTTTTCTTTTTTTGTTCGTAATTGTGTATAATTTTTATTTGTTCATTGTTCATCATTAGCCTTTTTTGAATCGAAACAAACTGTTTGAGTTTTGTTCCATCATGATTTTGAAATATCAATACTGATTGATTTGTTAGTTCTAGAGAATCATAGTTTGTTTGTGTTTGTGTTGTTGTAGTTTTATGTATCACTTTATTGACGAGTTCTTTTCAAATTTTTAGTACTCTCAAACAATAGCTCATATTATCTCTGTTGGATGATGAAAGTTTCATATCAGCTCATGGGTTTATAAGTGAAGAATATTAACTCCATTAGAATGAGACCTTTTGGGAAGCCCAAAGCAAAGCCATGAGAGCTTATGCTCAAAGTGGACAATATCATACCATTGTGGAGAGTCGTGTTCATCTAACATGGTATCAAAGTCATGCCCTAAACTTAGCCATGCCAATAGATTGGCAAATCCTCGAGCTTCCTCGAATGTACGAAGGCAGTAAAAAATGACTAAGACTCCAAAGGAGTCGAGCCTCTTAAGGGAAGGCGTGCTTTGTTCGAGGGGAGGTGTTGGATGATGAAAGTCTCACATCGGCTAATTTATGGAATGATCATGGGTTTATAAGTGAGGAATACTAACTTCATCGGAGTGAGACCTTTTGGGAAGCCCAAAGCAAAGCCATGAGAGCTTATGCTCAAAGTGGACAATATCATACCATTGTGTGGAGAGTCGTGTTCGTCTAACAATCTCAAATCAAATGATTAAAGATCTAATTGAGATGAGATCAGAATGTGTGCTAGATCAAACTAAGTTAAGAGTTATAAAATATTTTTGGACTCACTCAAAATTTTGAGTTGGTTGGATTGGTGATCCTATCAAATAAAATTCACTAACTTAATCCTACTTTCTATTTTTGTTGGTTCATTTAATTATTATTATTATTTTTAATTATTTTAAAAAAAATTATAGTTATCTATTTAGAACTCATAATAATGTACCACTGACACAGTTAATCTATTTTCGAGTTGGTTTGTTTAACTCCAATCACAGAACGTCCTGAATATTTGACCCGTTTGCCAAGTAGAGTTTTTCGAAATCTTCCCTCTTTTCCTTCAATTACATCGAAAAACGACTTGTTAACCTTATTATGGTCATCCCTCATTGGTTGTCCGCGGATTCCATTATCAAGAAGTGTATCTACGGCTTCTTGTACCAATTTCTCCTGGCGTAGATCTACTTGTTGTTAATAGATCAATAAGAGTATTGTTCCGATAGATAACTCTTCTATAGAGTTCATTAATATCCGAGCTCATTAGTTTACCCCCATCTATCTGAATGATTGGTCTCAACTCGGGAGGAAGAACAGGTAATAAACATAAAACCAGACCAAAAAATAACCCGTAATCCGAATCAAATCGAATTTTCTATTTTTCAAAAATTTAATCCAACCCAAAAAATCTAATCCAACCTAATCCAATTCAATCCTTATGATTTCGGTTAGGGCAAAGGAATTTATACATTTTTAATGTGAAAATATTTTTAGGTAAGCTCCAACAAAGACAATATAAGCCCAACAATGACAATATGTACTGGTAGTAAGCTCCAACAAAGACAATATAAGCCCAACAATGACAATATCTACTAGCAGTGGGCTTCAACAAGGACATATAAGCCCAACCATGATAATATCTACTACAGTAGGCTCCAAAAGGACAATATAAACCCAACAATGACAATATCTACTAGTAGTAGGCTCCAACAAGGACAATATAAGCCCAACAATGATAATATCTACTAGCAGTAAGCTTCAAAAGGACAATATAAGCTCAACAATGACAAAACAATGATAATATCTACTAGCAGTGAACTCCAACAAGGACAATATAAACTTATAATGACAATATCTATTAGCAGTAGACTTCAAAAGGACAATATAAGCCCAACAATGACAATATTCATTAGCATTGGGCTCCAACAAGGACAATATAAGCCCAACAATGACAATATCTACTAGCAGTGGGCTCCAACAAAGACAATATAAGCCCAATAATGATAATATCTACTAGTAGTGGGCTTCAACAAGAACAATATAAGCTCAATAATGACAATATCTACTAGCAGGGATTTGAGATGTACCACCACAAATTTCAAAGTTCATAAAATCCTATCTTATCTTAAACCATAAAATATCAAAAATATCAAAAATATCAAAAATTATTTGTGCAAATTAATATGCCAATTCCAAATCCTAGAAGGATTTGAAATTCCCACATAAGATATATATATATAACAATTAAATCAATCAATCCATGTTCTTCCTTCTTCGCCGATTTCAGCAACATTCCTATATCCGCCGCCGCCTCAGACGACGTTTATGAGTCCCAATATGTCCCACCAGCTGATGGGTCTCATGGTATTGGGCGCCATTGCTATCATTGTGTTCTTGCCGATCTTCATGTTTCGTTGCTATCACAACCGCTTCATGCTGTATCAAACTAGAGCCCTCGATGTTGAGCAAACAAACCATGCAACGCGACTCTTCGCTCGTTTTCGGGCCGAGGTTATGCGGCAACAGCAGTCGATAGCAGTACCGCCTCCTCGACCGAACACGGCAGAGGAAGAAGCCGCCTCCATTGTCACGAAGGTCGCTTATAGAGACATCAAGCCGACCAAGGAAGCCGATTCCGATGACTGTTGTGCCATCTGCATTGAAGGGTTTGAAGAGGAAGAGATTTGTGGAGTTGTTGATGGTTGTGATCATTGTTTCCATAAGGTTTGTATCGATAAGTGGTTGGGGATCGTGAGTCGTTGCCCTCTGTGTCGTTGTTTGGTTCGTGTTGTATCGGAGAATAATAATTCGTAATTGGTTAAACCCTAATTATCATTTTAAAAGTTGATGGTTGGATGAAGAATAATGACCCGACAATGACCAAATTACTTCCTTCTCGAGCTAGAGTTCCACGATCCTAATCAGAAACTTGTTGAGAATAGGAGCATCCAAACTAGACGCAGAAAAGGGATAGTGTTTTTGAAAAATGGTGGTTTCTTATGATAACTTGGAAGAAGAAAGAAGCTAATTTATAAAGGTTCGGGAGAAGCAAATTTACCTTGTTCAAAAAGTGACTTTTTTTAGTGCTTGTTTTACCGAGTTCATCTGTCAGGAATTTACCGTTATATTTTTTTATTGAATACAATATTTACTACGAATCAAATTATAAAAAATTATATATATATATATATATATATATATATATCTCGTGAGATTTTCATTCTATACAGTTCCTTCTAAGCTTCTGTGGAATTGGATTGTCGATGCCTCAACAATATTCTCCACGGAAACCCCAATTGGATGCTCGACTATGTCTATTGGCATGGCTAAGTTTAGGGCATGGCTCTGATACCATGTTAGATGAACACGACTCTCCACAATGATATGATATTGTCCACTTTGAGCATAAGCTCTCATGGCTTTACTTTGGGCTTCCCCAAAAGGCCTCATACCAATGGAGTTAGTATTCCTCACTTATAAACTCATGATCATTCCTTAAATTAGCCGATGTGAGACTTTTATCATCCAACAGGTATTTCCTTTTAATAGGTCGAGTTCAAACTTTCACATATGAGAATAGCAAACTAAGACCGATTGATAGCCAACTTAGTTTGTATTCTTGGCTTCTACGGCGACAACTCTTCCAGGAAGAATTTTGCCCCTTTAGGCTAAGTATGTATATGATTGTATCGTGAATAAAAATATATATCTTAAAATTAATCATAAATTCAGGTTTGTTCGTTTCAACTCAACTTAAAAGGAACCAAATCTATTAAATTTTGATTTATTTGAATAAATCTAATTCAAATAAGTTCATAATTTAAACGATCGTGTTTTTGAACACCTCGACCATTCTTATATTAATTAAAAATTGGTAGTTGAGCCACGGAAAAGAATAATTAATTAAATATTTACTATTAATATTGTTTTTTATTTTTTTTTAAGTTTTTAATTTTATTATTTATTTCTTATTAAATATTTTCAACCAACTTTCATGAACGAAGTCCCATATGTTAAGAAAGGAATATTTGTGAAATCACTCCAACATATAAGAAAGAATCTTCTTTTAATTTTTATTTCTTATTCTAATTTTTTAAAATTTTAACCTAATTTTTATTTAATCTTAATCGAATCTTCTCACTTATATATTTTTTTAATTAAAAAATTCTAAATTTTTAAATGTGTTTTCAATTTTTTTTTTAATTTTAAATAAATTCTTGAATTAAAATTTTAAAGATTTATAAAATATTTTATAAATTTAAAAAATTAAATAAATACTTATATTATTTATTCTTATCCTAGCTCAATTTCTAATCTCGATCGGAATTGATTTTTCCTAATTATCTAAATGAGGTAAGAGGCGAGGGTAGTATTATTTGTTCTTATCCTAGCTCAATTTCTCGTCTCGACTCAAATTGATTTTTCCCCATTAGCTAAATGGGATCAGAGACAATATTATTTGTTCTTATCCTAACTCAATTTCTCGACTCGAGTTAATTTTTCTTAATTAGCTAAATGATGTCAGAGACAAAGGCTATATTATTTGTTCTTGTTCTCACTCAAGTTCACGTCTCGACCGAGTCCCTACAAAAATAAATAGAGAATTTCATAGAAGATTGGAAAAGGGTATTCCCCGTCCACGCTCTACCTCGTGAACATCTCTGACTACGCCCAAATCATATATATATATATATATTTTTGTCTAGATATAATTTTAAATAAAAAAATAAAAAAATAAAAGTGGTATACTAAAATTGTAATGGAAGGAAAGATATGGACGGCTGAAAATTGTAATGGGATGAGGAAACATCCAACGGCCAAGAGTGGCGGGGTCGGAGGTGTCGCCTTGGGGCACGCAACAAAAAGGCCAAATCAACGGTGAACAGAAGAAAAATCCAAATTCAAGTACAAAATCACTCCCAACAAAATCAAACCATCTGGAGCGGCAAATTCCTTGTTCTGTAGCTTCAAGGATCCATTCAGCGCCATCCTCCACATTCAATCCCCTCGCTCTCACACAGTCTGTAGAACAACACCATGCCTCGCACCGGCTTCGTCGGTTCCTTATCCACGCCCAAGGTCGACGTCGTCATCGACATGGGCAATCCCTTCCTCAACCTCACCGTTGATGGCTTCTTGAAGATCGGATCCGTATGTCTCTCTTTTTTTTTTTTTTTTTCTTAATTTTTCTTTCTGTTCTTCGTTTGCTCCGTCTATAATCTAAATGCGTTCTGTTCTGTTGCTTCTTTCAAGGTCGCGGCTACCCGAGCGGCTGCCGAGGATGCGTATCATGTCGTTAGAAAAGGTTTTGGTTGATGCGTATCATGTCGTTAGAAATTGGTTTCCTCCTTTTTATGCAGTGATTTATGGCGTTGTTTTGTTTTTTCAGGAACGATTTCTAGTCACAATTTTGAAAACACGGTTAGTGTCTCTTGCTTCGTGTCTCAATTTGTGGAGTCTGGTTGTTTATGGCTTTTGATTGCTGAAATTTTCATTCTGAGAATGTTCATAAAGTGCGTAATTAGGAAACAGATAGATTCTTTATGGTCTTTTGATCTATTCGCCTAATACATCTTAGCTTCTATTGCAGTTGAAGAAAATGTGTAAAGAAGGTGCATACTGGGGTAAGTATAGATCGCATTACTCCTCAATGAAGTACTTAGCTTAGTGGATGAGTTTCAGCATCTGTAAACCTCAGCCAATTTGATAAGATTTTGCATTTGGTTCATTGTTCTTGGAAGTTAAGCTTATGAGATTATAAAATCTGGCTATAATTTCAGAAACAATGGTGATATTTCATTTGAAAAGATGGGTAAAGGATTTTTTTATGTTTGGACGCAGGAACCGTGGCCGGAGTTTACGTCGGTATGGAGTATGGGGTAGAAAGGATTCGCGGCAGAAGAGATTGGGTATGTTTTGCCATAAACTCAAAGTCATCTTTTAAATCAAGTTCAAGTAATTCTGTTAGATTTTGCTTCCAGTTCTCCGTGTTTATTTGGGAATATTTTCGAAGTTCTGTTTGATTTTCTGCCTCTCATCACTGTTCTGGATTGTTGGTTCACCTTGTAGAATGTATTGATCCTAGATTGGAGAAGAAAATGCAAACAACCCAGAAACAAAATTTCTCGAGATCCTAGATATATTATCAATGTTACTTACAATAGTCCTCTGATTAAAATGACTATATCTTTACAGCAAGAGAATCAATGTTTCTTTCTGGTTGTAGAACTGGGGTCTTAGTTGTCTGTATTATTTCAAACAAGAATTCCCCCTGTTACCAGATATTGTAATGCCCTAGAACACGAGTGACGTCATTGATGTTACATTGGGTCCTGAAAGGGGGTTGAATGTGAGAGAATGAAGCATTCTCTATAAGGGTGTGAAAACCTCTCCCTAGCAAACGCCTTTTAAAAACTTTGAGGGGAATCTCGAAGGGAAAGTCTAAAGAGGACAATATCGGCTAGCAGTAGTTTAGGCTTGAACTGTTACATGTAGTCTGCTATGGTTTCTAATTGGGCATATCACCAATAGGTTGTTTGTCTCGGGATCTAAATGTTTGAGCTTGTTTCAGAAAAATGCAATGATTGGAGGTGCTTTGACGGGGGCTATGGTATCGGCAGCAAGCAACAGCAACCGGGACAAAATCGTTATCGATGCAATTACAGGAGGGGCTGTTGCGACTGCAGCAGAGTTCATAAACTACCTTACTTGAGCGCCGAGGTTTCCAGGCACTTTCATGCCCCTTTAGAAGAAGGTATGGTGATTGAAGACGATGGAATCATGTTCAGTCTATTCAAACCTTTTCAGTTTTTTTGCAGAATAACTTGTCTCTCGTAGAGTTGCAGCCTTAAAAACATTAAGGAAAAAGATAAGATAGTGGTAGAAATATCTTCTTTCTTCATCAATCAGAGCCACATGTTGTTGAGGCTGTAATCGTAGTTTAGTTTAATGTTTTACCGAACAAATTTATGCTTAAACTTTTAAGAAAGTGACGTTTAGAATGATGTTAATTTGTGGCACTTGTTCTAATCTAGCGAACAAGTCTGTTATGAAAAATTTAGACTTCGTGGACAACGTCGACGTATATATAACTTGGGATTGTTCATCGTCGAGCTACAAAACCGATGATCTAAATATAGGTTTGACTTCGTAAGTTCAAGTTATTCAAACTCAATCTTGATATAAAACAAGGCACCTACAGCCCACAACAAAGCACTTATATAATTCTTCACACTAGATTTCAAGCAGCCATCATAGACTCAAACAAAGTACAAAAAAAGGAAGCAAAAACAGATGAACTTTGCATATTGATCGGTAACTTTATTCCATTTCACAAGCTTTGTTGTTTAAGGGCTTTATCCATCTCCTCTCCATCTAGCTCGCTCATCAGCAGCAGCCACACCCGTCACACGAGCAGCTGCTGTCGCAGCAGTCGCAGCAGTCGCACCCGTCGTTCCTGCACACGATACCAAACAAAAAAATTTCTATTACTATCGTTCTATTTTCATTCATAATTTAACGCATAACTATTTATGTACATGTTGATTAGGGAGGTGGTCTCTTTGACAGTCCTGTAAAGATAAAAAACAAAGAAGAGGATGATTATATATTTGAATCACGAAGCGAAAAAGAAACAACGAACCCAATCGCATTCTTGTTTCTCTTTAATTTGCTCGTTTAAAATTATATGAACGAACGACTATGCATATAATAAAAAGTTAAAATGTAAAATTTCGCTCGTTCTACGTAAAAAAATATATATATATAGAGAGAGAGAGAGACCCAGAGAGGCAATTGCAGCTATCTCCACAGGAGCAATTATCACCACATTTGCAGCCAGAAGCCATTGTTTTTCTGGTTTTTGAGTATCAAAATTTTCCTGTTTATATAGAGCTCTTCAGGACCCAATTGGTGGTGATTATCCACCGTACACGTGGACGGTTCCTACCTACACTTCGTTATTTCCTATGAACCTCTTTCTTTAATTTAAATAATTCCCAAAGTCATAAGATGGAAACCCTCTCCATTATTAGTTATTATCGATTATAAAAACGAATTAACATCTCTCCAGGTCAAACACGAGCTTTTCTAACACGTTTTGTTTTCATTTACATGTATTTTAGGAAAATTCCTAAGAACGTCACAAAACATAAAATTATTCTAAGCAAAACAAGCTTATTGATATAAGTAATATATCACAAAACATAAAATTACTCTAAGAAAATTCCTAGTAGTCTTGAACGTGTCATATTTGTGATATATTTAATGTCTAATGAAATGATATGTATTGCTTTATGATACGCTAAAATAACGTTGAGTGTCAATTCATGTTATGTTATGAGATGCCACAATGTATTATGAATATGTTTGGCAATGACACGTTATGACATGGTATGATATGTATTCAAATGATTTATGTATGCATATTAACGAGTGTAATTTGTGAGGAATGAAAGATGATTTATTTATAATGAAAAGTATGGGGACTTCGACGTAATTGTATGTTTATATGCATCGAAATACTTCCCATTTATTATGAGTACAGATGCAGACACTACGAGATTGAAATAACCCACATGCTTGACATGGTGCACGACAGTCGTTGTACCTTCGGGTGTTGGACTACAGCCTAGAGGAGCTAGCTAGACTAGTAGGCCCAAGGGGTGTGAGAGCCCTCCTAGTGGGGTCCATACTTGCACATATGAGTCGTGTGTAGAAAGGTAATACACATTCAACTTCTCCGAACTAAAGGCCACATAAGAGAATACGATTTTAAATGATATGTTTCATTATGTTGCATGTGTTTGCATTCCCTAACCCAATAATCGAGAATTCAAAAAACTTTTGATATTTTCGTCAAGAATGTAAATGTTTTTATCTAGTTGAGTTATGTTTAAATTGGTAACGAATGTTAAAAGCCTTCTATAGAAAAATAAGTAACGAACAATAAAGACAAATTTAACTCGTCCCACAACTTGAAACTACAAAAACTAAATTCATAAACGGATTAAGAGACAAAAAAACGAGAGACAGGAAGTTAAAAGAACACGAATGCTACGACACGAAACAAATATTGATATAAAACATAAATTCAAACACACATAGAAACTTTGATGATCTGATATGAACCCCAAATGCCCACCCACAACAAAGCAACATCACACACTTCACTTCACACTACACATTTCAAGAAAAAGAACAAGACAAAGAACACCAAATTCTGTTTATTCTATGGATAAGAAGCTTTGTTGTTGTCGTTTGGGCATTTTGTTCACTTAGCAGTTGCATGGGTCACATGAGCAGCCACTCCCACAGCTGCACCCACCCCTGCATAGTTTATGTTTGTAAGTTCAATTTCTTGATGCTTGTATGATGTTTCTAAAAGAAAACTACTCAAAATTATCACTTACTTCTTCAGGATGATGGCTGTGATGGTTCTGCATAGATTACGAACACGTTTTAATGAAAAATATCGTATATACGTACACATAAAGATTATGCATCAACAATTTTAAAACTGTATCTTAACGAAAGGGCTAAACTGACTCGAAGATTCTCCCTAAATCTTAACGAAAGGGCTAAAAACTCGAAGATTCTCTCCAATGGAAACATTATTTATTAGAGTGTGAAAGCTTCTCCTTAGTAGATGCGTTTTAAAACCTCGAGTTATTTGTTTAAACCCAGCTCGACGTAGCTTATCAAATTTTTTCAATTCGTGTTTCTAAAGTTAGTGATAACATATTCTTTAAAAATCGATCATTTACCCAATTGGGTAAAAGAATATTTCTCTTAGAATAAATTCGTTGGTTGGTTGGTCCGAGAAATCAAGTTTTTTTTTAGTTTAGGGTCAAAATCATCGATATTTGGGATGGTAGTCAGAGTTTAGCTATGCTCGAACTAGCAATAATTCGAGTTATTTGTTCAAACTCAGCTCTAACATATGCAAATTTAATCGAGCTAATCGAGTTTTTTCAATACTTGTTTCCAAAGTTGGTGATAACATCCTCCTTAAAAATCAACCGTTTATTTCTTTTAAAACAAACTAACGACATTTAGGATGGTAATAGGTATCTTAGCTACGCTCGAACGAACGATAATTCGAGTTATTTGTTCAAACCCTACTCGACCTATGCAAAATTAATCGAGCTTTTTAACGATCTAAAACGAAAAAGAAGTAAATTTGTACCCGGATTGACAGTTGCAGCTGTCTCCACAGGAGCAGTTATCACCACAGTTGCAGCCAGAAGCCATTTCTCTTTCGCACTGTAAATATTTCTCAACTTCGAATCAAATTTTATGGAATGGAATTTGCTGTGTTTTTTGAGTCTACATCTCCTTCTCTTCTTATAGGATCTTCTGGCCCAAAATCATTCAATCTCCACCCTACACGTGTACGACTCAGCCTCTCAGCGATAAAAATGAGAAACTATCATAGTAATTGTCATAAAACTTTGTTTTATTTTTTATTTTAAAATTAAATGTTAATATTTAAAATAATAAAATAAATTAGAGGCTAAAATGATATTTTTTTTTAAAGAAATTATTTTATTTATCATAAAAATGTAATATTTTTAGTCAACAAATTAAATGATTTAGATGGTTGACAAAAATAAATTAAATTTAATAAATTCAATGTATGGGAAACGGCATGAATATCGCCCTCCACCATACATAAATAAATGTCCACGTCAACATTTTATCTTTTATATATATATATATATATATATATATATATATATATATATATATATATATATATATATATATATATATATATATATATATATACGATATAGTTTGTGTACACGTCAAATTAATTTTGACATTTCATTTATTAGGAAGAAAATTTCAACTATTTAATTTATAAGGTCGGCCGGTTGACATTTCTTGGAAACTTACCTTAAATAAGGTCAGAAATCTCCGTTTAAATTTAGAAGGAGAGAGATGAAAATAAAATTATCTCCCATCTTAGGAACGGGATTATATTCTTATTTATATATCTCAATTTCATTCTATTTTTATTTATTTATTAACATGTTGTAATATTAAAATTTATATTTTTAAAAATAATATAAAATATTATATTATATTTTTTGTTAATGAAATATTATTAAATTTATTTAAAATGTTTTATAATTTTTTAATAGAAGTTGTATTAAAAAAATGGAAACTATATATTAAAACAATTCCCAATGTGTTTTTATAAAATTAAATTTATTTAAAATCAATATTTATTAACCACGTCATCCATGTATTTACTAATTCAATAATAAATAATTTTCTTTTGTAAAAATTGTAAGAATGGGTTGAACTTCTGGATTCTTCTAATATTACATATATTATTGGAGGATCCACCAAACATATATATATTAAATTCAACTTGCATTATTTATTTTATTTCATGTTTTTAAACTTATCCTAAAATGAATTTATGTATATCTTAAGGTGGCATGAAATATATGTATAAATTAACGAGATTGGATCAAATTGCTGCTATTGTTTCGATCTACTCAATTGGTCAATGAAGGTTTTTTAACGGTATGCCTCTAGGAATCTCGGGTACTTTCAACTTTATGATTGGATTCCAGGTTGAGCACAACGTCCTCAGGAATCTATTCTTCATATTAGGTGTAGCTGGTTTATTTGGCGACTTCCTATTTAATGCTATACATGAATCTATTCCTCACGTTAGTTGTAGCTGGTGCATTCGACGGTGTCATCGAGCCGAGACATATGGGCCTCAACAATAAGCTTAAAATACATGTAAAAGGGCTCATCATGTGAGTGCCTTTTTAAGGCCCAAACTAAAATAGGATTAAATAAGCCACAAAGATGAGCTAAGAAAAAGAGTCCAAAGTGGAAGTAATTTGAAGGCCTTCTTAATTTGAGGCCTCGTTTATTTTAAAAGGGTAAGACTAACGATGATACATAATGGATTAAAACGGATAATATTTGTTAGTGGTGGGCTTGAGCTATTACAAACAGTATTAGAGTTAGATACCGAGCGGTGTGCCAACGATGACACTGAGCCTCTAAGAGGGGTGGGTTGTGAGATTGAATAAAACATTCCTTATAAAGGTGGGAAAACTTCTTTTTAGCAGACGTGTTTAAATTGTAAGGTTGACGATGATACGTAATGGGCTAAAGCAGACAATATCTACTAGCGGTGGGCTTGAACTGTTATACTTTCGCAACATTCAACTTTGAAAACGTAGTCCAAAATTTGGTAGAAAAGAAAGGTGGATTACGTGAGCTCTAATTCGGGGAGTTGAATGTCTTTTATGGTAGAACTCAATGAGCAAATGAAAATTTGTCTTTATTAATTCATTGACTAACATAAATTATGGCGTTGAAATCCTTACTAAATTGGTAACGCCCATAAATACGATAATGTCACTCAATTTTATTACTTACTCTAAGTTCAACAACAATGTCATTTAAAGCAAACTAACAAGAATGGAGAGATTCTCTTGTAACAACCCACGCGCTTTGACCCGTTACATAGTGCTGTTAGCCTATGGTTTTGATTTTATAACTCGTATGTTGTCCGCTTTGACTCGTTATGTATCACCGTCACCTTCACGGTTTTACAACGTGTCTGTTAGGGAGATGTCTCCACACTCTTATAAGGAATGATTCGTTCTCCTCTCCATCGAGATGGAATCTCACATTTGAGGGTTTTTATTAAAATTATATTGAAAAAAAAAAAGAAATATTTTGGAATATTAATGAGAGGGATATTAAATATTTTTTAAGGCTTATTAAATAAATAAAAAAAAAACAAATATCCGCATCGTCATTGATACTCCGCCACCACACGCTCTCACTCCCCAAGCCTTCAGCTTCGTTTGTCTGAAAAGCTCTTCGCCATTACCCTTCACGTCTTCTCTCCTCTCAGTCTTCCTCTTCACAGAAGGGAAAATGGGCACTCGCATTTCCCATTTTACCCCTATCCTTTTCCTCTATTTCCTCCTCCTGTCCTCTTCTCCTTCCCCAATCCTTGCCCTAAACATCTCTTCCCTCCTCTCCCCCTTCCCCGACCTCTCCCATTTCGCCGCCCTTCTCTCCGCCTCCTCCATTCTCTCAGATCTCAACCACCGCACCTCCCTCACTCTCCTCGCCGTCCCCAACTCCTACCTCGACGCCTCCTCCGATCTCACCCGCCGCATCCCTCCATCCTCCCTCGCCGATCTCCTCCGCTACCACGTCCTCCTCCAATACCTCTCCCCTTACGACCTCCGTCACATCTCCCCTTCGGGCAAGCTCGTTACCACTCTCTTCCAAACAACCGGCCGTGCCACCAGCGATTTCGGCTCCCTCAACATCACTCGCAACCCTCTCGACGGCATCGTCTCACTCCATTCCCCTGTTCCTTTCTCCTCCTCCAATGCTACTGTTCTCACTCTACTCAAGAATCTCCCCTACAATGTCAGTATCTTCGCCGTTAATGCTCTCCTTGTCCCCTACGGATTTGATCTCATGGCCTCCGAGACTCGCCCGCCGTTGGGGTTGAATATCACTAGGGCTTTGATCGATGGTCATAATTTTAATGTCGCTGCCTCCATGCTCTCTGCTTCTGGGGTCGTTGAGGAGTTTGAGGCCGATGAAGGCGGCGCTGGGATTACGCTTTTTGTTCCCACTGACACGGCGTTTTCCGACCTTCCGGGGACAGTGAGCCTCCAGTCTCTGTCGGCGGATAAGAAGGCGGTTGTGTTGAAATTTCACGTGCTTCATTCTTATTACCCTCTTGGATCTTTGGAATCCATTGTGAACCCTGTACAGCCGACTCTGGCCACCGAGGACATGGGCGCTGGTAGCTTCACGCTCAACATTTCGCGAGTGAATGGCTCGGTTGGGATCAATACAGGGATTGTTCAAGCATCGGTGACTCAGACGGTGATCGATCAGAATCCGGTCGCTATTTTTGGGGTTTCGGAGGTGTTATTACCGAGGGAGATTTTCGGGAATAGTCCGATGATGACAACCCAGCCTGGTAATGAAATTGTGTCCAGTGCTCAGCCGCCGGATTCAATGGCTATGTCGCCGGAATCCACTGGGCCGCCATTGCATCTTTCATCTCCACCTGGGTATGGTGAGGAAATCCGATCTGTTGCCGTCGCTAATAGCGGGCTGAATTTCTTCATTGCTCTCTGTAGTTGTTGTATAGCATTGTATTTAATTCAGTAGTATAATATTTGATTGATTTTTCCCCGTGATAATTGCTTTCATGTTGCGGGTCTTCTTCTTCTTCTTTCTCCCATTTTATCAGCGGCCAATTTTCCTGTTCCTGCAACTGTTCTGTTGATTTCCATGGCTGTCTTGGTGTAAATTAAAAGAGTTGATAATGATTTTGGGGATCTGGGTTTGTTTCAATTTCGGATTTGCAGATTTCTTAGAAGCAAAAATGATGGAAGAACAGGGGATTTCCTTGCCTATGGCTCAGATCCTTTCTTCCAAAACAGAGATTTCATGGCTCTAATCTCCACAGCCAATCTCCAGAGATGAGCTCAGGTAATTGTCATTCATATTTCGATTTAGAACAAGATTCGAAATATGACGTGCGATATGATCTTGTTACAATTTGATTTTAATGAATTAGCTATTAAGATGGAAGATTATCTCCATAAATCAACACACTCTTCTTAAAAAATTTCTAATAATTTAAGCAAAGTTGTAGGAAATTTAAGTCAACCCGAGTCAATCATTTACTCTCCTTTTAAGATGTATACTGGTTGAGTTGGAGGTTCGGTTTGGTTCGATTGGTAATTCAGGGTTAAGTCGTTAGGTGTGCTATTCGGTTCGATTGGTGATTTAGAGTTGAGTTGGATTCGGTTGGTGATTTAGGGTTGAGTTGTTAGGAGTTCTATTTGGTTCGCTTGGTGATTCAGGGTTGAGTTGTTAAGTATTCTGTTAGGTTCAGTTACTGATTCAGGGTTGAGTTGTTAGGTGTTCTGTTTCGTTCAGTTGGTGATTCACGGTTGAGTCATTAGGTATTTTGTTTGATTCGGTCGGTGATTCAGGGTTGAGTCGTTAGGTATTCTATTTGGTTCGGTTGTTGAATTAGGGTTGAGCTGTTACATGTTTCGTTTGGTTTGGTTAATGATTCAGGGTTGAGTTGTTAAGTGTTCTATTTGGTTCGGTTGGTGATTTAGGGTTGAGCCATTACGAGTTCTGTTCGCTTTTGTTGATGATTTAGGGTTGAGTCATTAAGTATTTTGTTCGGATTAGTTGGCGATTCAGAGTCGAGTTGTTAGGTGTTCTGTTCGGTTCGATAGGTGATTCAGGGTTGAGTTGTTTAGTGGTTCATTTTTGGCTAA